GATTCTACCTGAAGTAGGTTCCCATGAATCAGAAGAGGATCTTTTTCTTGAGAGATGTTCATTTTCCTATGAGCACAATGAGATAAAATTAATTAAGTGTTGGGAACAGCAAATAATGTGAAGCCATTCTTCCTAACATTTAAACACAAATTTCTAGATTGAATAAGGCAAGCACCCACATTTGGAGGCAAAGTCTAATGTCTATGATAAAATAAAGATCTTAAGGTTTTTATCATAAAAATTAAGGGCATTTGTATCATAAAAATGGAAAAATATCATAAAAATGAAGTCAGTTTTCATAATGCTGATTTACATTTATGTCAATAATTCAAGAATAATATTATATTAGAACAGTGTATTTTTGAGATAAGGTCTTGCTGTGTCACCCAGGCTGGAGTCACCCAGGCTGCAGTGCAAGCTCACTGCAACCTTAATCTCCTGCGCTCAAGCGAGCCTCCCACCTTAGCCTCCTAAGTAGCTAGGACAACAGGCACATGCCACCATGACTGGTTATTATTTATTTATTTTTAGTAGAGCCAAGGTCTCGCTACGTTGCTCTGGCTGGTCTCAAACTCCTGAGCTCAAGCAATCCTTCCACCTAGGCCTCCCAAAGTGCAGGAAGCAGAAGGATCACTTGAGGCTAGCAGTTCAAGGCCAGCCTGGGCAGTATAAGGAGACTCTGTCTCTACAAAAAAAATACATAAATTAGTCAAATATGGTGGCATGTACCCGTAGTCTCAGCTACTTGGGAAGCTGAGGTGAGAGCATCATTTGAGCCCAGGAGTTTGAGACTGCAATGAGACATGATCATTCCACAGCACTCCAGCATGAGTGACACAGCAAGACTGTTTAAAAATAAACAAGTAAGACTATACTTGCCTTAAAAAAAAAGAATGCTTACTTTTCTGACTAAAAAAGATCTTTGTTCCTGGTCTGAAAAAACTATGGATAAGAAACACTGCTTTACTGAGTTCGATGAAGGGCAACTGGAGGAAACCTAATGAAACCAGCTTCTACACAAACTGTGCATAAATATTTCCTTCAGGAAAGACATCAATGTGATGTAACAACTCTTAAATACTTTTAAATTTAGTATTCTAAATGTGATATAGCAGTAGCAATGCTAATTCAATAATTCTTACACATACCACATTTGACAGATTGTTCTTTCCAGGTATGACATCATTCTGTTTACTTGGTTCCTGCCTTGGTTTATATTTTCTTTCTATACTAGAAGATTTTAAGGAAAGATTGCTTGCTTCTGAGAAAGAATTTTCGGAGTTGATTCTCTGCTCCATTTGCTCCTTTCTCAACCTCTTTAGTTCTCGTTCTCTGCAGTAAGAAGCTAGTGACAACTGGAATTTAGCTCCCAGTGGGCTTTCTCCCGGGTGGTGCCTGGACAGGCTGCTCCTGCTGCTAAGACTTCTGGAGCTGTTCTTGAAGATGTCAGCTTCTGCTACTGTGGTCTGCTTTTTGGAGTCCACATTGGTTTTGCCTCGATCTCTATCATTCTTCTCACTATTTTCATGAATGAATAGTGACTTCCTTCTTTCTGGGGATCGATGTTTTTTCTTTAGTGACTTCATCTCCTTTGGCAAGCGATATGAAGAAGGAACATAGATATTTGTTCCTTTGGCTAAATATTTGGAGGCTAGTGACACACAAGGCCGACGTGACTCATGTATACCATGATCTTCATGATGCTCTTTAACACCTTTCATGAAAGCTTCTATAATAGGGCTCTTTTCTGGTGGCACCCTTTTGGATTTAGATTTTTTTGGTGAGGATAGTTTCCTTTCAAACTGCTTTGTCCCAGTGATAGACAATCTACTTCCTCCATATTTGATGTTTGATTTTTGTGGTGAATCCAACATGTGTCTCTCTAAATAGCCAATTAAAACACATACAAATTGCATGTTACTAAAAGTAAAATATTTAACATTTCTCTAAATTATTAATGTTTAAAATATAAACTATACTAACGTTACCACAAAAATTTTCAAACCAACAACTTGGATAATGATACACACTTTATTGGGGGGTATAGGAGAAATTAAGACATATTTGTTAAAAGCCTTAGTTTCATAAAGCTGTCTTTTGGTACATCATATAACCTCCCTATGGCTCTATAAATTGCTGTATTAGATAATTAAAATAATACGTATTATGAACATTAAATTTTTGACTAGAATAAATTTTAAACGTAAGAAAACATAACAGCAAAAAGACTCTCCTCATGATATTTAGAACTTCAGTTTATCCTTGTTAAAACAAATACTGCATCTTCATTTTATTTCCAATTTTGAACACTACGTTTACTAAAACAGTTTAGAGTAGGTTTTAAAGTTGAATCTGTCTCTCTCCTCACCCCCAAATTAGCCCACAAAAAATGCTTCAACAGTGTACATACCTTGTTCTGAAGCTGGTTTGAAGAAATCTATAATTGACTGCTTCCTGAAAATAAAAGCATAATATGGCATCATATAAGCAAATATTAAAACCTCCATAATTCAGATTAAATGGAGAAAGTTAGATTTATAAAATAAAGGCTGGATTTCACTGTTTGGTTTAACTAATAAAGTTCTGACAACGGTAACAATGCTTTGCTAAACTGTTGATTTAAAAAACAGAAAATATAACGTATCACTTCCTATAGGAGTTCATTTATAAAAATACAACTGAGGTTTATGTTATTTACAGTACTTAAATAGGTAAGACTGGTGTGTAGGCCCAAGGAATCAGTACAGAATGCTTCTTAAGACTGAAATGCTCACAGCTACATGGTAAAATGCAACATCTTGGGTATAAGCACATGAACCTACTTGTTCTCTGCAGACATTGATACAAAATAACTAATTAGTATCTAAGCACAGGGGTGTTTTAAAATTCAGAATAAAAAGCTAAAAAAAAAAAAAAACCCTCAATAGATGTATGCCAAATGAATAATGGGGATTATAAAAATGGAGTAAAACCTGAACAGACTCTCATAACAAGAGTAGAACAGTAGATGGTAGAACGGCAATATGGGTGATTTGGCTGATCTAAGGAATCAGTTGAAGAGGACTTCGCTGGACAAAGGAAGAAAAGTAGCAAACTTACGCTACCCTCTTTATACATTACTTTAAGATGCTAATCCAAGTAACAGCAGAAATTAGAATGAATTGTCACGACTGAATAGTTTCAAATTCTTAATTTTTTATCAAAGAATCCTTAAAATAGTTACAAAAATAACACATTGCTTGGGAAAAACACAAGGAGAAAAGGAAGAAAGTTAACAAGAATAACAAAAACCAAATTAATTTTTAAATTTCTGTACCCTAACGACTGGATTTTTCACTATCTGGTTTAACTAATCGAGTTCTGACATTGGCAATAATGCTAAAGTGAAATAGGAATCCATTATCAGAATTCACATTCTGATTTGTTCACTGTATTTACAGGTGTCAGCTGCAAAAAGTGGGATGTTATGATATGCTGAGCAAAAAATTAACTTTCTGGTAAATTTTGCTAAAATGTATCATTTTACTGAAAGAGAATAAGCTATAGACTACTGATTTTCCTAAACATTCATCCACTATGAGGTTGGAATGCTCAGTGAAAACTCCAACAATTCAAGCTTCTTGAAGGTTACGCTTATTGTACACTTTACTGGTCACATTAGAAGAGCAATGCACATCTTTACTGGTTTACCAAGTCCATGATGCTTGTTTGAGATGTTGGTATAAAAGCTACGTGCTTATGAGATGAATATGAGTGACAGGCTATGGAAGAATATATGCATTTGCTTACATAAATTACACTAGGCAAATTAACTCCACCAGAGTAAATGCTGGAGGTTCTGCAAAGAGGAGAAGGATGACGCCTTGTTATTGATTGAGGAGAGGTGGGAAGGGACCCAGAAGCAGCGAATTTGTTGCAAACATCATTCTAAATGCATTTTACTAAATGTAACACTGTATCTCTTCCTTGAAATATTGGACCTCAGACTCCTCTTTGATTAATACACCAGAAAGAGAAAAAATGGTTTTGGGTAAAACATACAAGAAACCTGTAAAATAACCATGAATGTAACTTTCAAGAGGTAAGTTCTCTAAGTTCATATGCACACAAATGTCCACTGCTTATTTAATAACTGGCTAAAAAAAAAACACCACAATTATAACAGTTTCACAAACCCTTATCTGAACCTTCTGAGGCCAAATGTGTTTTAGAATTCTGAATTTATCAGATTTTAGGAAGCGGATAACTTGGATGTATTATGGAAAGTCCCCAGTGGGGTCTGGTGCTGCAACCTGTAATCAAACCCACTGATATTTCTCCAGCAAAACATGAATATTCACACTTAATGGGATAAAGACCACAAACAGCCTTACATTAGCTCTGGTCACGTCTGGCTGCCAAGTAAGATGTGGTGCCAAATTTACTGAAAACGTTTGGTTTTCATAGCTTTCTGGCTTTCACAGTTAAGATAAGGGATTGCGGGCCTGTACCACAGTATTAGAACATGAATATTATTAAAACTTATTACAATTTAACTTAAAATAAAAGACAGTACCAAGTTCGTAGGGAATTTAAACATGTTTTATTGTCAGAGGATGTCATTAGATGAAACTCCCCATCTCATTACATAGCTCCCACAAAATCTTTACAAAAAAATTGGCCTCTTGGAGAGGCGTGAAGTTACTGAAAGAGAAAACACGTCACATTCCAAATCTGTAAGTTCTTTTAAGTATGAATTAGCGTGCACGCTGGACTACAAAGTAATTCGTGGAAGGGAGTCCCTCATCACAGGTTACATAATTTCACCCACAACATAGAAAAGGTTTATATTACTAAACCACTAGCATCAGTAGAACTGACAAGGTACAGAAAACGACCTAAATATGCATTAAGCAGTTAGGGTCCTGGGTCAAGCTCTTGCAAAGGAAAAAAATCACGTTCTTTCTACCTAAGGCGGGTTCTCCGTAGCTGTCCAGGCTGGTGGTCACTAGACCAAGAACAGCTGCCCAGCTACAGAGAAGCAAACTCCAACTCCCAGAAGCCCCTGCGCGGAGGCGGGGCGGGGGTTTGCCAGGCCCCGAAACGCCAACGCCTGAGCTCGCGGAGGATGGCGGGAACTGGAAGAGCGGCGGTCTGCAGTCCTCCCCTCATACCCTTTCCCCCGCGACCCGGCCCCTTCTCAAGCCCTCTGCACGGTACCTGTCCCCAGGACTTTCTGTTCTCTTTCCCGCTGCAGCATGGGCGGTACTACCGGGTCTCAGATGGCAGCGCGGGGGCGACGACCCCGGGGCTGGGGATGAGGGGAAACCTGGCCTAGCGGGCATGCAGCGCCTTGTCATGTCGGCGCCGCTGGCGACGGCGGCATGAGCTGTGGTTGGAGAAGTTGGGTGCGTGGTTGCCGTCTTGCTGCTCGGACTCGGGGAGGCTGTCGGAGCAGAGGTGGGCGGCACCCCCTTCTCTCTTCATGGCGGTTCTCTCTTCGGAAGTGACTCCGGTGTGAGCGGGAAGGAACCTGAGGACCAGTAAGGGGCGGATCTTACTTCATGAGTCACGTCTTCATTGGTTGGCACGGTGGTCATTTCGGTGGTGGCGCAATAGGAAGCCGCAGCCTCTCTGGAGAAGGCGGGGCTTGGGGACGGGGGAGGAAGAAAACTCCCCCTCCCACCCCGTCACATGCACCGAGGGCGCGCGCCTCTGGTCCGGGCCGCCTCGGCCTTGGCGGGCGCGCGGGGGCGGAAAGGCGCGGGCAGCCGCTGGCGCTGCGGCAGCTGACGACACCCGCCTGGTTGAAGGCGAGGGGTGAGGGTTTGCCTGGCAGCTGCCTTTGGTGAGGATGGCCAACATTTGGGCTTCCTGTGTCACACAATTGTGTCTCAGAAATCCCCAGCTGTTCATTACATTATCTCTTTAACATTTTAGGCCAAAGTGCCATAATACTGTCACAATTTCCTGGGGGATCTGCACAGCGCGATCCGAAGACTTGTCCATTCTATGAGGGTTCTTGTTGAGTGTCAGCGGTAGATTTTTTTTTCTCTTTAAGAAGAAGAAAAAAAAACCCTCAAAAAACTCCGTTGGAATAAACACAGTTTTTAATCCACAAAAGCATTTTGTTTCTCACGAGTTACCATGAAGTCTCTGCAGCTGGCTTTCTTAGCGATTTTTTAAAGGAACACAAGGTCAGCTTTCAATTTTCCATGTTAAGCGTGGGCAGCATAGATGAGTAAAAGCTGCCCTTAATCTCCAACCCTCCTTTGTAAAGGGCTTGTGCTCTGGAGGCTGTTAGCCGTGGTTTTCCTTATAAACCGAGAGACTGGTCAGAGTATCTCTGAACCTCAGCCTCCACATCTGTAAAATGGGCATTTTACTCCCTTTTCTGGGTAATTGTAAACCATAATAGAATAAAGCAGTGTACACTGCACAGTTCAGATTCTAATATAACAGGTACTAAGCAAATTATAGTTCCCTCTTCTTCTCCAGATAGATTCTTACAGTGAATTTTACTTCTTACAAAATCTTCCAGAGACAGGTCAAATACTGTTGCAATAACTGTTAACCAAAATATCAGTTTCAAGATGTCCAAGCTTTAATTGACAGAGTTATTTAATCAGTTGGATGGAAAAAATCTTAAATGATATAAAAGAATTTGGACAGGTCTTTCAAGTTTATTGTATAGAAATTGAACTGTTGGCCTGGTACAGTCACTCACGTCTGTAATCCCAGCAGTTTGGGAGGCCAAGGCAGGTGGATAGCTTGCGCCCAGGAGTTGGAGACTAGCCTGGGCAACATATCAAGACTCTGTCTCAAAAATAGATAAATTAATTGAAATTGAACTGTTTTGGTCACTAAGCATGCCTGACTGACTCCAGGTTCACCTCCTTTTCCCTTCCCCTTTAGTCCCCAGGAGGAAGAATTAATAAGGAATAAAGTGGTCAAAAAGCTGGCAAAGTAGAGGGTCAAAGGTAAACAGTGAACATACAGGTCTCACGTTCACCCCAAAAGCACGTATGTACAGCTGTATACTAGGCAGTGGTGGTGGAAGAAGGGAAGTGCCAAAATAGAGGGTACTTTTCTGCTGCTAATAGCTGAGAAGAGGTTTTTTACATAAAAAACATAATAGACGCTCAAAATGTGTTGAATGACTTATACATTTCCTTTTACATGTATTATTTCCTATCTCTTGATTTAGTACTTTCTGTTGGATGTTTTTACACTAGGAAATTTCTGTACTATAACAGAGCACATCTACAAAACATTTAATCCGATTCATTTCATTGCATGCCTAATCGATAAAGAGTAATGCATAAAAACACATTCTGCATGATCATTTAGTTGCTTTTCTTGGATTATAGTACTTGAATCATCCAGCCTCCAAAGTATCACTTTAAAGCCTGTACTCAAACTACCAAACAATAGTTTTCTCATTTTCTTAATCTGAGTAACAGATTATGGAGTTAAGTGAGGCAAGAAATCCCTCGATCAATAAATGGAAATGGAGTCATAATGAAAACACAATTTAAAAAATATCTTCTTAACAGGAAGTAGTTATGTAAATCCTCAGTAAGCATCAAGACTCTTCTTTGTTTAAGCTGTGTATGAAAGTGGTACAGATTTGGGTTGCAGGGTGAAATATGTTCAACGTACTAATAAGAACCCCAGGGAACTTCTAGGGCATAGGGCTCTTCTCCACTACCCACCTCAAATAGTATTGGACAGTTTATTTTGTGTTTATAGCCTTTCTCCTAGTTTAAATGTGTACGTATATACCATGCACACGTGCGTGTGCACACATACTTATTGTAAGGGTTTTTTACACTTTAATTTGTAGTGGGCTAAAACGAGATGACCAGGAAACTGTACACTAGGTAAAAGATTTTTAAAGAGTTCAGATGCCTGCTTAGGAGGAGCTAATAGGGGAGAGAAAACTAGGGTGGTGGGGGGGCTAGTGGGGGGAAAGGACGTTGAACAATGTAACCAAACCCAATTAGAGACTTAAGACAAAACTTCAGCTGGGATTTGGAAAAAAAAAAAAAAAAGAGAGAGAGAGAGAGAAATTAAGGCTGGATGACCATACAAGGCTAATTTGGGAAGATTTCTGGGCATGGGGATGGGATGAGGACGCAAAGATTGCAGAAATGGAGTGGCTTCTATGCACAAAGCTTCTGTCGGGGTACAGCTCAGCTCAGGTTAGCATCCTGCCTTGTTAAAGACAACAGGAGGAGGGGGCTCTGGCCTTGATGAAAAGGAATGGGACAGCAGCAGAAACAATGTTACATGAACAACAGATCAAATTTGCTGGGAAAGTCAAGCCCAACGTGGGAGTTCCTGAGAGGAGTGACAGTATAACTCATGCCAGAGATCTTAAGCAGTCACAGAGAGAGAAAACAGCTTGGGCAGATTGGTTCACACAGTACCTTAGCAGACAGGGACTGAGAACAAAAGGTCAGTAAGTGACAGAGAATGTTACCAAAAAGCAAAGAACTCTAAAAGTAATTTCTGATTGTACCCAGTAATAAATTTTTGCTCTGAAATTGCCACACATTTAATTAACTCCAAGGCTCTTGTTGGAAGGTGTTCTAGGGCAGGCCAAGAAACAAAGACTGATTTGCTGTAGAACTGCTGTGGGGAGGTGAAGGTGAGAGGGTGGCCTGGGAAGGGGGATAAGGAACAGACTCAGGAAAACAGGAAATAATTAACTTGAAAGCCTGACGGAGAAAGAAAGACCACGTGATGATCTCAAGAAGGGATGGCGAGCTCACAGCATCTCAAGATCCACACAAATCACTTTTCAAAAGGATGCCAAACTCAAAACTGCCCAAGTGCTTGGAAAAAGGACCTCCCAGGTTTAAGCAGCTGCTGGGGAAAAACCAAATGTAAAATAATATGTCATGTAACCTAACATTCTGGGAGTAATTAGTAGAGTTGTGCAAAAGCAGACCTAATGTGAAGGAACGTCCATTTCTTGTTCCATCATGATGGAATGGTGCGAGATAGTTTCCCACGCTTCAGATACATGAGACACGTATTTGTGATTTTCAACATATCTGAATATTTCCTATACTATTTATTAATATTTTTCCTTAAATTGCTTTTTGAATTTAAGTACATATATTTTAGGAAAAAACTTTAAATCATTCCCATAAGTGGAAAATTAGTATGAATTTCCTAAAATGGAAGATAACTGTAAAAACTAATATTAGTAAAAATATATAACTAGCTTAAAAAATATAAATATATCCAAGTTTCTTCTTGAGTTATCTCGTTTAGCAGTGGTGGTGATAGGCATTGATAGGTGTAGATATTACTCATACATCTGAAATATAAGAAATACTTTGGGAAATACTGGTTTTAGGGATTCTATCCCATACTTAGGTGTTTTTCACACCCGGTTAGCAACTCCTTAGAGGATTTTGAAATTGATGTAATAGGTTACAGACCATGTTTTTGAAAAAGAAAAAGACAATGGAATAGAGAATGTCTGTTCACTGCATACAACATATGGGCATGTGTTGTTTTTCAACATTTTTACTTCTTCAACTGTATATATATATATATAAAATATGGTAGTGATGTAAAAGGTATTCCTGTGGCCCCTGCTGTGCGCTATGGTCAAAATATTTAAAAGTCACTGCTATAATCTGTGTTCATTTTTCATACTTCTGTGTATTGGTGGCACTGAACAGCCAAGGCTGGAGTGCGGTGTTGCAATCATGGCTCATTGTAGTCTCAACCTCCTGGGCTCTAGTGATTCTCCCACCTTAGCCTCTCGAGTAGCTGGGACTAGGGGCACATGCCGCCATGTCCAGCTAATTTTAAAAATTTTGTAGAGACGGAGTCTTGCTGTGTTGCCCAGGCTAATCTTGAGTTCCTGGGCTCAAGTCATCCTCCATCCTCACCTTCCCAAAGTGCTGGGATTACAGGCATGAGCTGCTGCACCCGGCCAAGAGTTGTTCAAAGACCTGGAGCAACGTTTAAAAACCAAGAGATTTCACACAAAATTCTAGATTTCTGGCTTCAAGTGGTACAAAGAGTGGTCTGGCACTTATGCTTACAGGGGCTAGGTAGGTAACTGAAGTAAGTGAATCAGGTCGATTTCCCTAACTTTTATAAAGCCTCGGGATTAAAGAAGTATTTCTTAACAGCAATGACAATGGCCAACGCTTACTGAACCTTATGGGCCAGGGACTGTTCTAAGCACTTCATGAATACTGACTCATTTTATCTTCACCAAATTCCTACAAATTAGAAAATGGTGATCTTTGTCTAGTGTCTGCACAGGCATGATAATAAAAGGCACCTACTACTGAGCCTCAGTGAGGAGTGGGGCGGTACTGTAGAACCAGAGAGCACATTCCCCACTAAATGGAGGCAGCTTCTCCAGGCTACAGTTTCCATATGGGAATGCAAACCCAGAGTTCCCTCCTCTCCTCTCAGTGTCAACCCCTGGGGAGTGCTGGGTGAGACATGACAGACCTGCAGTCAAAGCATGCAGCCCCTAGTGTCTTGACATATACCCTAACATTTGTTTATTTCTGTAGTACTATGAGATCATGTTCTCTTAAAGCAAATGTCTCTTGGGGCCAAAGGAGAAAATAGTAAATGCTTTTGGTTCCCAGTGCAGTGTTACAGAGAGTAGGCAAGAATGTCACTCAGGGCTTCATACTTAAAGAAATTGCTGTACTTTACCTATGAATAATACCTATGGGAATTTTTTTTTTTTTTTTTTTTTTTTTTTTTTTGAGACGGAAGTCTCGCCTTCTGTCGCCCAGGCTGGAGTGCAGCTGGCCGGATCGTCAGCTCACTTGCAAAGCTCACGGCCCTCACGGGTTCATTGCCCATTTCCTGCCTCAGCCTTTCCCGAGTAGCGCTGGACTAACAAGGCGCCTTGGCACCTCGCCGCCGGCTAGTTTTTATGTATTTTTAGTAGAGAGACGGGGGTTTCACCGTGTTAGCAGGATGTCTCGATTCTCCTGATCCTCGTGACCACCCATCATCGGCCTCCCAAAAGTGCTGAGATTTACAGGGCTTGAGCCACCGGCGCCCGGCCGGGAATTTTTTTTTTTTTTTTGACGACGGAGTCTCCCGCTGTCGCCCAGGCTGAGTGCAGTGGCGGGATCTCAGGCTCACTGGCAAGCTCCGCCTTCCCGGGTTTGCGCCCATTCTCCTTGCCTCAGCCCCTGGAAGTAGCTGGGATACAGGCGGCCCCACCACCTCGCCCGGCTATATTTTGTGTATTTTTTTAGGTTAGAGACCGGGGTTTCACTTGTGTTAGCCAGGATGGTCTCCATCTCCTGACCTCGTGATCCGCCCGTCTCGGCCTCCCAAAGTGCTGGGATTACAGGCTTGAGCCACCGCGCCCGGCCACCTATGGGAATTTAAAAGGACCAGTGGCCGATATCTATCAAAAATATCAAATGAACATGTCCTTTGACCCAGCAATTCCCCTTCTAATATATTTTAGATACGTACTTCTGTGTTCACAAAGGTGGATGTGTAAACGTACTCATTGCAGCAATATCAGTAGCAAAAGACTGAAAGGGAACTGAATAGTCCAGCAACAGGGGACTAGTTGAATAAATGCTCACCTACACAGTAGAATATTAGGCTGCTTTTAGGAAGTCTGAGTTAGATACACAGGATGTTTTGTGCTTAAACGTGCAAGGCCTGGGGCTCTACTGCCTGGGTTCAAATTCCAGCCCTGCCACTCAGTAGATCTATGACCTTGAGCAAGTTACCCAACCTCTTTGTGCTACTGTGCTCAGATGTAATAGGAAATGATGATACAGGTAGTATCTGCCTCATAAGGTTTTGTGAATTTTAAATGAGTTAATACACAGCTAATTGATCACAGCCAGTTACAGATTTCTTTGTTCCTTCTCCACTCCCACTACTTCACTTCAGTGACCTTACATTTTTTTTTGAGACAGAGTCTTGCCCTGTTGCCCATACTGGAGTGTAGTGGTGCCATCTCAGCTCACCGCAGCCTCCGCCTCCCAGGTTCAAGCAATTCTCCCTCCTGCCTCAGCCTCCTGAGTAGCTGGGACTACAGGCGCCTGCCACCTCGCCCGGCTAGTTTTTTGTATTTTTTAGTAGAGACGGGGTTTCACCGTGTTAGCCAGGATGGTCTCGATCTCCTGACCTTGTGATCCGCCCGCCTCGGCCTCCCAAAGTGCTGGGATTACAGGCGTGAGCCACCGCGCCCGGCCATTTTTAAATTTTTAGTAGAGATGGGGTTTCGCTGTGTTGGCCTGGCAGGTCTCAAACTCCTGACCTCAAGTAATCCACCTACCTCAGCCTCTCAAAGTGCTGGGATTACAGGAGTGAGCCACTGCGCCTGGCCTAGAAAAAAAATTTTTTTTAATGAGTTAATACACAAGTAGAACAGTGCCTGGCGTGTAATAAATATAAGGTTAAGTGATTATTACTTGTAATATAAGCTAGTGTGGAATAATCTCTAAGATATATTAAGTGAAAAAATTAAGTTGCAGGCCAGGCGTGGTGGCTCACACCTATAATCCAGCACTTTGGGAGGCTGAAGCAGGTGGATCACTTGAGGCCAGGAGTTCAAGACCAGCCTGGCCAACATGGTGAAACCCTGTCTCTACTAAAAATACAAAAATTAGCCAGGCGTAGTGGCATGCCTCTGTAATCCCAGCTGCTCCAGAGGCTGAGGCATGAGAATCGCTTGAACCCAGGAGGCGGGGGTCGCAGCGAGCCAAGATCGTGCCACTGCACTCCAGCCTGGGTGAGAGTGAGACTCCATCTCAAAACAAAAAACAAAACAAAAAAATTAAGCTGCAGAACAGTGTATGTTACTATTATACATATGTTATTGTTCATATAATTAAAAGCGGTTATTTGCATGTATATGCTAAGACTATCTCTGGAAAGATGCTGTGCTTCCTAAGTGATTTTCTTTTCTCTTTCTTTTTTTTTTTTTGAGACAGGGTCACACTTTGTTGCCCAGGCTGGTGTGCAGTGGTGTGGTCACTGTAGCCTCCCAGGCTCAGGTGATCCTCCCACCTTAGCTTCCTCAGCAGCTGGAACTACAT